CTCGATCCCAGGACCCTGGGATCATGACCTGAGCCGAAGGCAGACACTCAACCATCTGAGCCACCCAGGCGCCCCTAGACTGATATATTTTTTAAGACTTTTATTTACTTGACACACAGAGAGAGAGAGAGAGCACAAGCAGGGGGAGCGGCAGCAGAGAGAGAGGGAGAAGCAGGCTCTCCCACAGAGCAGGGAGCCCGATGTGGGGCTCGATCCCAGGACCCTGGGATCATGACCTGAGCCGAAGGTGAGCCACCCAGGTGCCCCTAGTCTAATTTTTTAAATCAGGCACTTAACAGTTTTTACTCTTTCCAGGTTTGGGATACATTTTTCTTCCACAGTACTTCCCACCTGCCCTGCTTGGTCAGTGGTAGGCCTGGGTCAGCCCCCAGAATGATCCCTGGATTCTAATCACTGGGCCTTGATGTCCAAGTCCTTTCAGCCAGCTCTAGGCAGATTGTCACCCTGAGTGCAGTAGTTGTCTTCTCCCACTTCTGGGGAAGGCTTGGGAATTAGGGTTTCTGTAGCAAGTCTGTAGGGCACTCGGTTTGGGCCCCGGTTCCGCCACCCTCTGTGCTGATGCGGTACGTATATTGTCATGTTAGCCCTCCGAAGACTCAGACGTGGAGGAGTCACCACCCCCATTTCTCAGAGGAGGAGTGCCCAAGATCACATGACTAGAAAGCACACAGGTGGGGATTGAAATCAGGGGAAATTCCAAATCCTTTCTTTCCATGCTCTTCCCTGTCGCTTAACTACTGTGAGCCCTTGGCTTTCAGATGGAATTCAACCAGGTGAGTTCCAAACAGCCTTCTACCTCTAAAATTCTTGCAACCATTGATATATTTGAACTCTTATGAACTTCATTGCTAATCAAGAGGAATCCTATAATAATTATTAAATAATCAACATCATCTCGGTACTCTTAACTAGGCGCCAATAACAAACTCTTCACAACTCTTCCATACTCTTTGAGTACCCAGCTCACAGTTCTAGCATCATTTTATTTTTTTTTTTTTAAGATTTTATTTATTTATTTGAGAGAGAGAGCACGCACAAGTAGGGGGAGGGGTGGAGGGAGAAGCAGGCCTCCCGCGGAACAGGGAGCCCAATGATGCAGCACTCAATCCCAGGACCCTGAGATCATGATCTGAGCCAAAAGCAGACGCTTAAACGACTGAGTCACCTAGGTACCCCTTATCATCATTTATTACAGGTTTTTTAAAAGTAGCTGTTTTCTTACCTGCTTCTCCCACTTCGAACTGCCTTCTGTGGAGGAAGGGAAAGGGTGCTGTGTCTCATTTACATCTATATTCCCAGAAGCTAGGAGAGTCCTTCACATATATTTAGGGCTCAACAATATTTATTGAAGTATACTAAGCCAGCAGACATGAAAATAGACTAGGAAACCTTCCAATTGTAGGACTTGATCATTCTAGTCAATATTGAATATGAATTCATCATTAGATTTATACCCATATATTTATATTCATAAAATAAAACCACCATTTTATTGCACTGTGGAGGATTTATTTCACATATAAATTCTTTTAAATGGGCAGGCTTTACATTTCCTTTGCTCAGCAGAATGGTAACTGTGAAGGAAAGAGGCATAAATGACAGGAGAATTAAATGACATTATGACAACATTGATCTGGTAACAAATGATAAATAGTTTCAAAAAAGGAATGTGTAAGTTTTTCATTGGATTAATTAAGGTCAAGAGTCCTCAACTGGGGGCCATTTTGGCCCCTACGGGACAATAGGCAATGTCCAGAGACATTTTTGGTTGTTAGGCTAGTGGAGAGGTTTTTACTGGCATCTAGCGGGGAGAGGCCAGAGATGCTGCTAAGACATCCTATAATGCACAGAACAGCCCTTCACAACATTCAGCCCAAAATGTCCATAGTGTTGAAATTGGGAAATCCTAATTTAGATAGACCCTCAAGTAGTGCTGGGAATTTAGTACATCTTTATTGGTTGATTGCTCGGCTCAGCCCATGACCTCTGACATCCTGGGCATCTCCACGATGTGATAAAGAGAGTTGTTGTCTGATGGTGATTCTGAGGCATCAGTAGTCCTAGAACTGCCCTCTGAATCACAACAGAATGTGGCCAGCTTAGGGGCCTCTCCTTCCTCTCAAAACCTGGAACCCACCAGCCAGGACAGGTCCCCAATATGTGTCATTTATCTGTTTATGGATACACCCATCATCTATAACTAGACCATATATTCCTCTTGGCAGAAGACATATGTTTAACTTCATTGCACCCATTTGCCACAGTCTCTCCATACTTCTCCCATATAATGCTTTGGCACTTAGGGCATGACAATGATGCTTTATTTTTGAAATTCATTGGTTAACAGTTAAACAGCTGGTCATCTGTAGATATCCTCTGTAGTAAATTGCAACTAACCAGAATGTAGTGTGACTAGAATCGCCCATTTTTTCCACCATTCGAGATAAATTAGTTGTTCATGGTATTTGACATTCACATTTGTGTTCCTGGGGTCAAGGTTTATGTTGGGTGTTTAGGGTTAGAGTTAGAGAATTCCTTAAGTTCTGTTTTCTTCCTCGATTCCCTGGTTTGTGAGGATATTGTCTTTTATCTGGGAAATAAAATGGAGACTTCACTCACACAAGAAAAACAAAAACAAAACTTTTCTGTTCAGGTAGATATCAGTATTTGGTAAGGCATGATGGGAGGTTGACATATAAAGGTATCTGACAGGGTGATCAGCCCTACATAAGTTTGTGATGTAGGTAGGCAGTGTGTTTGGCATCCATCTCCTTACTCCCCCAGGTGTATCCCCCTCGCCCCCCCACCCTGCATTTTCAGAATCACTGATACCTGCCACTATGTGAAGAGCACTTACTACTTTGGCACTGGGTAATACAGTGTCTTGCCTGGGGCAGGCGCACTTGTATTTTTTTTTTTTTTT